ACGAAGAGTTCCGTACTGACCTCACAGAAGACCGGGGTAAAATAGAAGTGTTATACTTCTACTTTTCGTCTGGTGAGAGAGGTTGCCGGGGCCCACTTTATTTAAAGATGGCAACTCATTTGCAACCCTACAGGTGTTGCAAATGTCCATGGGAGGCGGTTATTACTTCACATCAGGTGAACCGCCAAATCGTGTGCCACTCTATCACATTAAAAAAAATCATGTTTTAATATCTTTATTCAATATTACTCTTAAGTATTATTAAGTATTACTCTTACATATTGTCAAAAACACTACTGCTGTCAACATTATCTATAAAACCAGCAAAAAAAATCATGTCTGTTTTATGGGAGCCCCTCTTATTTATAATTTTTTTGTTTTTTAGTATTTAATGTTATAGCGGCAACAAATGACAACGAAATACATCGTTTGTGAAAATTTCAACTCTCTAACTATCACGGTTCATGAGATACGGCCTGGTGACATATGGACAGACATACGGACATACAGACGGACAGCGGAGTCTTAGTAATAGGGTGCTGTTTTAACCTTTGGGTACGGAACCCTAATAAATCCCAGTATTAATGTAATGGATTAAAACAGGTAGCTCTAACCATCAACCTAAGTTATAAACAGTTATAAACAGTGTAATTTTGGATATGATGCGACAATATATGGAATAACATGGACTAATAACACTTTTTCAAGTTTTTATAAGTAAACGGAGAGAACCAGAAATTTATTTTTGACAATAAAACAGACAAAAGCAGCTGAAAAAAAAACAATATGTGATTAGAAAAGTATTTAGGTATTTTCGAAAACCAATTTCAGCCATTCATTCTTAAGCTTTCTTAAGCTTGGCGAAACTATCTGAAAACAAGTCTGTCTTGGAAAAGAAGAGGTTCTCGAAATATAATTGAAATTGATCATTTTCCTTATTGCGTTACTACTTAAGCATTATTTCGGGTAGCATGAGTAAAAGCACAAAGTGCTTCATACATAATGTCGTGATGTCAATGCGATGTTATGAGACGACATTATTTAGCTTAGTATCTATCTTAAATAGACAAAGTGATTTTACTTGAATATATAGTATAATTGTGTGTTGCCTGTTGTTAACTCTCTTTGGGAACAAACACCCAGATACGGCGATTTGCTTCCATAAAAAATAGTTGCTCCGTGTGGGATTTAAGTGATTTTGCCAAAGGCTCCACTACTGCAACACCAATTTATCTACTACTATCAGTAAGTAATTGTATTACCACTACTGTTACTAGTACAAGTATTCTGAGAACTGGCAATAACCTAAACGCTTTTCAGTGAATTTAATAAAAATAGAAGGTTTTTTTTACTTTAACTAAAAATATTTTCTTTTACTTTAACCTAGAACATAAAACAATATAATCATCATCATCCCCCTTATCCCTGCCCTTATCCCACCTAGGTAGGGTCGGCACAACATGTAAAACATGTTGTAAGCAGTTTAGGCTGTTTTTTTTTCTTTTTTTTTAATTTAGAACTGGCCGGCACTTGACAGCCATACCACCTGATGTAAGTGGCGATGCAGCCTTTGATGCTAAGCGCGCTAGCTCAGTAAAAACCTATTCACTCCTGCCTGCATTAATAATTTTTACGACCAGCTGCCTGCCTAACGTCAACCCTCCTCGGGAAACAGACAACCAGATCCGGAACAATTGTTTGTGGATCACCAAAATACTTTTCCCGTGTAGGAATCGTACCCACGATCCTCGACGCTGAAGCCAATAGCGTAGCAACGGCGCCATCGAGTCATGAAAATTTCTCCTACATCATTTCAATAATATAAAATTATACTTCAAGATAACAATATAATAATAATAATAATAATAATAAAATATCTTTATTCATAGACGCTTGGGCGTTCTTATGAAACGTCAAAATTTTACAAGATGAACACGTTCGTAAGTTACCATAAATAAACTGTTTAAACTCTTTGAATTGATCATTCTGATCATTAAGAAGATCATTCTGATCGATTCAGAGTTTTTAACCATCGTTTTGACATAAATAACATTTGAAAAGCCATTTGACGGCTGATTAGTTTGCTTCTACGATGATCAGTGTTTCAGAAACCGGGCGTTAGTGTTATGGTAAATGGTTATTGACACCCCTGTTCGTATCTGAATAACAAGATACTGAATGTCTAACCAATGATCCGTCCGACGAATCACTGAAAAATTCACGTAACACATTTTTTTCTTTATCTTCCACAAAGGTTTCGCTGGGGCAAATTTATGCGCCTGCGTAAGTAGAACTCGATTTTGTTTTATTACCGCCAGTTCGCGTGACCGATTTCGTTCTCGGGCCAATTTGCTCTCGTTTGTTTTTGTTTTGTGTGTGCTCGCTTTAGGCGGTTAATGTCTTTATGCAAGCGACGTGTACCCGAAATATGTGCTGCATTCATAATTTCGCAGTAGCCTTTATGCCTCACAGAAAACTAACAAAATTTTGTTTTAAGTTTGCTTGATAACCATTGTTTGAGATATCATTTTAACAAAAAAAAAAATAACAAAGTTAAAAAATATAAATAATTTCAACTCTTCGTCTACCTTATTAATCAAAGGTTTCAACATTATTTAAAACAGACACACCGTTCGTTAAATAAATAAGAATAAATTTGGCAAATTAGATGATGTGAAAAATTTGCCTAAAAATTATTCCCTATTAAATTCTCATGTTCCTACGTCATGGTGTTTTCAATTTCAAATATATTTCATGCGTCGCATTAATTTTGATCATGTCTTTTTTGTTAGCAGCGATAAAATGGACAGATGAAGGTATTTTCAGCTGGTTGGTCGAATGTGGTTTCGATTAGTGGTCTGATTTTGTATTGTCATTTGTTTTCATTTAAATTTATTGTAATTTTAAGCGAGTATATTTATTAACATTATTACTATTACTGTAAAATTTTAATAACTTTATTTAAACAATATTATTCTGATATTACTTATATACTTGACACTTATCGTTATATTTTGGGAAAATGACACAATGAGGTGTTACTGTCATGTATAAGCTATATTATTGTAGTTTCATTAAAAAAACCATTTAGTACTTTTTTCAAAAAGAAAGTTTATGTATGGATGTATGGATATACATCCATACATAAACTAAACTTCCGCGTTTAAATATTTTATATAAGTAATAAGTAAGGAAGGAACAATAAGGATAAGGAAGGAAGGATTATCTTTAAATCTTGACATAGCTTTTATAAAAGACGAGATGAAAGTTTATGGGACGTGTTTTTAAACCACAAGCAGTAAAATGTTGCTGTTCAATTCTGCTGTTTTTCGGAGAAGGTAACAAGCGAACTGGCGGTTCATCTGATTTTAAGCGATTACCGCCGCCCATGGACCTTTGCAACAAGCGTAGGGTTACAGATGCGTTGCCACATTTTAATAACATAGGCCCTATACCCTCACTCACCGGACGAAACGGAGGAGAATAACATTTCCACTTCACGGTACTTCCTCGAGCGGACCCATCGGGCAACAGCGGCTTGTTGGTTATCACAAGTATTTTTATTTATGTGAGAAAGTGGCAAACGAGATGGCGGTTCACTTGATGTTAAGTGATAACCGCCTGCCTATGGACATTTGCAACACCCGTTGCTGTCCGGACGGACCTGCCCATTCGTGTAACAGCGAAAACTGTTGCGTGGCCCTACCACCGAAAATTTTCATTTATCACTTATTTAACACGAAGTATTTAGGATGCTACGAAGGGTACAATAGGAACTCGTGTTTTGTTATAATACCGTGCGACATAATTGCAATCACGCATACCCGCAAGCGTACACAGCCCGTGATAAAAGTAATGAATGTTATATAAATGTCATCAGACCTCAATGCGGTGAAGTGAGCTTGTAATATCCGTACGTAACATCCGCCCGTTAACTTTTCACAATTTCTATTGTGCCGGGTATTAATATTGTATTACTGCCGAGCAGTGGCCTCCTCTGCACAAAGGGTATTGGTATAGTCCACCACACAACCCCCCTGCGTATTGGCGGACTTCTTCAACTTTGTTATGATTTCGAAAATATGCAGGTTTCCTCACGCAAAAGCAAACCCTTCACCGAGGACCACGTGATAATTCAGCCAATAAAATTTAACAAAAGTGAATTTTTTTAATATAATTTTCACCTTTTGAGAATTGTAGTTATAGCAAATTACCTAATTTTTTTTTAAATTAAATTCACATTGTGAGCATGCCGTATGTTAGACTTTCCCTTTGCTGTCAGAACGGAAATTTGTTTTACTTCCTGAAACAACTGGCAAAGTACTCAATGGATTTTTTTATATATTTTTATGAAGTTCCTTACAGTTTCAAGTAAAGCGTTTTATATGCCATCACTTAATTACTTTCAGTTTTGTTTAATCTGCAAATAAAGACGTTAAATTTGATTTGTACCGAAAATTCTTTAAGTACAAGAGATTTTTTGCGAGCGTGTTTAACATTTGCAAGATTATTGCTATCGCGTGTTATCCCCATTTCTACTTCGGCGTACTTTTCTTGGGGCACCTCGTCAATGTTAAATGGCACGAATTCTCGATAAAAAGGTACCTGTTTAGATGAGTGGCTTTTGTTTTACATTTAGAGACATTTATAGACCTTCTATGTTAAATGTGATATAAATATAAATCTTATTGAAAGAGTGGGAGAAAGTTGCTTCCAACTATGTCAGTTATGAAATACTGATAAAGTTCGAGCCTCTTTACAGAACATGCCCTACTACTCGGCTTAACAGTTGAAGGCAGATTCAAGCAGTAACAAGTACAGAACATGCAAACGTTTAACCTACATTCGAGTGTATAAGAAAATATGAAGTGAAAACAAGTCACGCCATGGTTTTCAACACGGTTCCATCCACGGTTACCATTATTCTATTCAATGGAGTGCGTTAACGACAAATTGTTCAATATAAATATGTTATATCGTTTTTTTGAACGTCAATATCAGAACGAGAGTATTATTGAGGGATTTTTGTTCGCATCGCCTAAGTAGATTTTTAAAGATTGCGGTAAACGTTTTTTCTCCGTCAGTTGCCATGCAACTAGACATTCTGCAAGGAGACCGCTGAGGTTGCGTTGCGAAACGGGCAGGCCGCGCCGCGAAGGTGAAGGCACCGCGCCAGTCGCTTGCACGAGAGAGCGGCAAACGCACGACGCTTGCGCTGTCGCCTCCCCGCCTGCCTCCGCGCGCGCGCAGCCGTTCTGACCCGAGCACCCGAATAGTGCAGCGGCCCCCGACTGCACCGTTCCAAATTCGAAATTGACCATTCTTAAAAAAGTTACGCCACACAACTGGCCAGTGTCAAAAGACAAATAGAAACTTCGTGCCCTGTGTCTGTGTTCGACTGTTTTCCAACGTACATCCCGAGTGAGTGTCGATTACGAGAATTTTTCTCGTTATTTGACATACATATGACGTGTATAACGGTGCCGAGATCTGACGCTTGATCGCTTCGCTATAATCGAATAAGTGTTTTGTGTCTCTGAAGCAGTGCGCCGGAATTTTAACGGACTTGCCTAAGCCGAGGTAAGAGCGGATGTTTACAGTTATGCTTTATTGTATAACAAAACGGAGAAAGCAGTCTTTATATGTGCATACTAATTGACAGCCAGACAGATAGGTTTAATAATTTATCAAAAACGTTATTCGAATACCTTTTCAAATCTTTTATACGGTGTAATTTTTCTGGCAATGGCTACGCTTAACGCAATTTCTAAAAATGATTCTATTTACGTTTGTACATCAAAGAAGAGGCAGAAATCCACGAAACTAATTGTGTTTGCCCTCACGGTATGCTCTACGAACTGTATACCGTAATAAATAATAAACGACGCCGGTGTAAGCGCGCTTAAATCATTCATAATTCATTTTAACGATGAATATTCAGAGTTGTTTTATACTCGGTCTGTTAGTGAATTTCAAGGGAAAACCGTTTAGGAACGGGTCCGCGTCCAGAATAAACAATGCAACGGGTGAAAAGTTCTCTCTGACTCATCTTTCGTACACCGCTCGTGGCCTAAGACATTTGTGCGGAATAAATTTACCTTTTAAATGAGCAACGCACTTGTGTTTAACAAACAGACAAGGAGACTTTTGTGTACGTTAGTATTATTAAAAGGCTGGCAGCGAATGATCCAAGGCGATCTGTTTCCCAACTGGTTTAGTTAAGCGTGAAAGGTTACCCTCAATTACCTCATGCAACATTAAAAGAAATACATATAGTACATAAGTCTTTGCTGGGTGGCATTTCTCGGTGTCTCAAATATTTACCCGAATTTTACACGTCAAAAATCATTTAATTTGCGATTCAAAGTCTGTTTATCAACTCTACTTGAAATATATGTTTACATTACCGATTCATCCTAGTTTTGTCCTGAGTATTCGTAGTCAAATTAATGGACTGACTAAAATGTAAGTTCGCCCCGAGATATTTTTTAAAATTAAAACCGAAACGAGATTACAAATCCCGAATAACGTTTGTCAGCAATTAGCCCGCCAGTATCGATCACGACAACTTTCTACTCCAACCGACTTAAGTAAAAAGACAATCAAGTTCTATAAACAAATTAAAAAGAGTATTATTTATATACCAGTTCTCTGTGGCCGACCGTTCACTTCTCGTTTCTTAGTAAATAGAAATTTACATTGTAATAGTAAATAAGCAGTTATATGCTTTGGTCGCTACAGTTCGAAAGAGATAAACCTTTCCAAGCTCCGGCTTGTTAATCTGTCCTAGTTTTTGCAAGCGAGTTACAATATTATTTTTGTATATATGTCAAAAATATCGTTATACCTTGTTTGGCATGGTAGGACGCATCAACCGCCATATTGGCCTAATAAAATTGCTCCTTTAGTCAGTCTGTTCTAAATGGTTGAACTCATATACCGCCATGTTGGTCTTAATAAATCTTGGAAATTAGTCCAGTGTACTGAGAGTTGGACTTGCTTCGACTAGAGTGCGTTTTTTTATTATCCTACTTTTTTATATGATTCGATCTATTCAAATTGAAGTACTTGAGGGTAGGATATTAATTTACCAAGAGTCCTATTTCTTAAGGTCAAATGCTGTGGAATATCATTTTTAAAGCTTCTTTATGATGTTCTTCAGAAACATCTTACTTGTGATATGTAACTATTGTCCTATACTTTATTTCCCTTCTTAGACTAACAAAGTCCGAATACGTTGATTTGCTTCTTAAATGTCATATTATCATTTCGAATTCCGCTATTAGCGGCAAGATTTACGTCTTGGAGCTCCTCACGACATTATCCAATAACAGGTTAGGCGTAGGTGAGTCACTTGCGGAATCAAGCGTTGTTCTATATTACAGCAATGAGGGAGCTTCATTAGGGTCTTTGTTATAATACAAGTATACCATAGGAATATTCAAGATAATCGATATAGTTTGCTTACAGTAAGGTAAATAGCGCTTTAGATACGTGCATTTTCTTTACTGTTTGTCTAAATTTGTTGTGTTGTTGGCAAATCATTAATACAACAGCTATTTTAAACTGTCATTAAATTGGCATCAACATTACAAGCGAGCCCGTCTTCATTTAGGTTATACATATCTCGTTACTATAACATTTTTACAGCAGCCCTTCTGCTGATTTTGAAAAAATAATTTATTTAAATGTCGAACAATAAAATCTGAGCTGGATCAGAGGAAAGTCATGATATCACCGACAATTTACAGCTGTAAATAATATTGTTTATCTTTTAAAATACCTTTTATATATATTACCATTTCGAATTACTTTACTTAATAAATAGAAAAAGTGATTATTGTTTTGTAAGTCGCAATTAATGTTACAGTTTCGAGTACGACATATTGAACGTTAACATGTTTTGCAGAACGTCGGTTACTGAATATTGCAATATATTTTTCATGCACCCACAATCCCTTGTTTTTAATTTTTCTGTAATGCATTTACGCATGTATTGTCGTGTAATTATGAATAAATATAACGTGATTAAATTATCAGTATATTTGTCGCCATACTGGGCTACATTTTTGTCCTAAGTTTTATTAATTATTTATTAAGGATGTTCTATTTCGTCGTGTCGTTTTTAAATATTAAATTAAAGAATAAAATTCATACACACGTTTTCGGATTATGCGAATAACGAAAGGACCGAAATAATTTTGAGGTATCAAGGCAATAAATACAATATGATTTGTAAAAAACTGAACTTACAAGCAACCGGTTAGTAAAGTTCCATTGGCTCTTTTGCAACGAAGATGTTAATTGCCAGTCTACATTTCTATTATCAAATTAAAGTAGGGCGTTGTTTGTGCCTCCATTTAGGCTCCATTTAGCGTTAACACTGCCCTCGGAGCGGTTTCTTTGGAATACTTTCCGTCTTGGCACTCATAAAGCTATCCCAGGATGCGCGAGGGCTTATCGGGGTGTAAAAACCGTCCCCTTATCGGCAAAGGGACGAAGAAGCCTCAAGTTTATAGTACAAACACGGGGAGTTTGTTAAGCCCTCCCAGCACCTGATAACAAGTGTAACAATGCAAGCTATGTCATGTGGGTGGGGTAACCTTGCCCCCCGATTCTATCTCCGCTTTACTTTATAGCGCATTATCTAATTTTACGAGCTGGCATGTTGTTATTGGGCTTGTTAGGTTAGGTTAGTTTGATGTTTTGATTAGGCAGTTTTTGTATGGTTTTTATCCATTTTGGTTCCGTAAAAAATCCCTTCAACCGACTCTATAAAGGAAGATGTTCTAGTTGATGCACAGAACATATATGTGACACAGTGTGTATATACAGATATGAAAGTTTTCTAATTTTCGGTCTCTTTACTTTATAATTATGGGCGTATATAGTCATTGGCTGTAGAATACAGTCACGGACAACACTTACAAACAGTTATTACCCGTGGCTAAACAATAATCGTTAAAAAAAAACTCCAACAGAACACACTCGGCGTGGCTTCACGTTTGCACGCGACTGTACATTGTTCGTCCGACGTATTGTTGTTCAGTTTCCAAAGTCAGAACGAAAGTGCCGCTGTGTCTGGTTGATTGATCGTCGGCTATAGGAGAGTCACGAACGGGGTGAGGTTTCCGACTTTTCCGAGTTGCATTTTGCGCATTCTGCTGGTGCAATGGCGGATAGGCAAGTCCTTGACCGTCTCTATTGCACACCATACAATTTCAGCTTGGATGGTGGCGTAAGAAATCGCTCGACTGCCACTTCGCAACAGACGGACGGCGTTCGAGTGTTGCAAATAGCGACAGCAGAACGCTCTGCTGGAGTAAACTGAGATAAAAACAGTTATTCACGGTTTATTTTTGTATCAATGTTCGAATCGGAAAAGGTTTCCGTTGTCCAAATAACGCCTGGAATGTAGGTCGATCATGTCTGATTTCACATAGTCTTTTGCTGCAAATGTTATCTTTCTGCAGACAACGCTGCAGCTAAATCATTGTTAAGTTACGGTTTAATTGATTCTTTCTTTTATTCACACAAGCTCTATGTTTAAATAAAACTTTTTTTATAGTAGTAAGTATAAGTATTCTTTATGGTAAAATTCGATACTCACAATTTCTTATTTTTACGCGAATACAGGGCCTACATGGTCAAATGAAACCGTTTTACGGATTTTGTTGTTTTATTTTGATTTTAAATTATCGACGTTTGAAACCCTTTTACAGCTTTCATGGTCACGGGATAAACTGAGTTCGATATAATAGTTTCATTTAACCCTATTTATAAAAGACTGCTAGGAAGGTTGCTAAAGGAATTCATTAAATCAAATTAATAATGAAAATTTATTAGTTGTGGGTGCCTAAATTTGAAATTTACATAAAATTGCGTGAAGCATAAAGATTAACTTTGTATACTTGTAAAAGTCTTAAAATATGGCAAATCTACCCACATAAAAATAAATAATCAAGTATGAAATATATTCACTTTGAAACAATATATTTCACTAGCTACTCTGAATGTATTATTGTAATTTATTCTTATTTATGGACATTTTCTACAGGGTTAAACGACAAAGAAGCAGTTGCTACGCAGATGAAAAGGATTCCTTTTTAAAATCCGCACACAGGCACAAGTGAATCGTTGATTAGACTTTAAAAGCGCTCTAGTGATAATTAAAACCGTCGAAAAGGTCAAGAACGCTGAGACACTGGCTGTTTGGCCTTATGAGTGGTTTTGCTTTTGCCTTTTTTACTGCGCGTGTTTTTCGATAGGACTTTGAATTTGTTTATACGATAGCCATATTGATACGTGCTGATTACGTATG